GATAACATCAGCTTCATGAGACATGGTTGTCTTTCTTAATGTTAATCTTGAGGTTTTGACTGAGTAGTCTTTTGTGACTGTCACTCACACATCCTCCCTTTTGGAGTCTGTTTATTTTCTGGGAGTATTACTTCTTAGAGTAACAAGTTCTATAAGTTTGTTACTTATTGTGTAATTTTGGTGCAGACAGGCAAATTTCAGTTTATGTGCAAAACAGAACTTCCTAACACTTAAAGTTTCCTCAAAGTAGAATGAGCAATGGATGTTTGAGCAGAATCTGGATGACCACTTGTTGGGTAGATTGTAGTAGAGATTCTTATTCAATTTTGGGTTGTACCAGAAGGCCTCTGAGGTCCCTTCCAACTCAGAGATTTTGTGATTCTGTGACTTCATACTTCCCTTTTCCTCCTTGCCCACACCAAATCCTTCTAATCATTTTAGTCATCCTACTCTAGTTATAGCTTTCTTGGTGTATTATAGCTGAAACCTCATATCTAACCATGTCACTAACCTGCTCAATAAACTCCTCCAAAAAAATCTTGTATTTATTTTATACATATTAATTTGTATGTTATTTTATTTCCCCTAATAGAATGTAAGCATCTTGAGGCTAGGGACTGTTTCACTTTTGTTAATGTATCCTTAGTACTGAGCATAGTGATTGGTACATGGTAAAGACTTAATAAATGCTAATTGACTGATTAACATAATCACATATGTTTGTGTATGTGTGTGTGTGTGTAGTTATATTGATGCAGATAGATGGCTCAGTGAATAGAGTGCTGGGCCTGGAGTCAGGAAACATCTGTTCAGAGCCAGCCTCATATTACTTACTAGCTGTATGACACTGGGCAAGTCACTTAACCTCTGCCTTCTGATCCACTTGAGAAGGAAATGGCAAGCCATTCCAGTATCTTTGCCCAGGAAACCCCATGGACAGTATTAATATGCTATGGTCCATTGGGTCATAAAGAGTTGCATGCAACTGAAAGACTGAACAGCATATGTGCACATTATAGTTGCTAATTAAATATGTTTAGTTATAAAAATAATAAAAGATCCCAAAGGTTTGTGGTCTGTTCAAAAGCTTCCAACCCTGCACAAAATGAATACCTTAGGACCTAGGAGGACTAAGGTGAAGGGAATCATGGAGAATGATTAAGATGGAAAGTGTGTGAAAGCATACCTTTCCCAGAATTATTGGATTTCTGCTTTCTTTGCCCTTAGAAGGCCTTCTACCCAAGATTTTTGTAGGTTGCAAGATAGAGCAGGAGGAAGAAGCAAACTCCCCTTCCCCCATCCTCATCCAGGTTTCTCCTGCTATTTGGGGTAGGTTCATTGGAGCCCCCCCCCCAAAAAAAAAGCTGAAGAGTGAAAAGCATGACAAATCTCTCTATAGAGTGTTCATGGAAGTGGACAAACAACAATAGTGAGACGAGAATCGTCATTTGAGAACTTGCTGCGGGGCAGAGAGGAGGCAGCCAGAGGAAGCACGAGGCTCAGACTCCATTGGAGTGAAAACTTGGAGCAGTTCTGTGCTGTTACACACATTTGTTTTCATAGTTAAATGTTTCCTTTGGCTTCTGTGAGGGCAAATGGAATTCCAATTCATAGCTTCTTTCTTTTCTTTCTTCTCACACTCACTGTTTAACCCCCAAATCTGCATGCTCCCCTTTTTTTTTATATCCCCTTCAGACCAGTTTGTTGGGGAAGGGTTTGGGAAGGGAGGAGTGGGATACTTGGAGAAAAGAAAATTCAATCCTGCAATAATGTTTCAGCCTGCTAAATGAGCTATTGTTTCAGTGACCACGTGTGCTTTGTATAGTATCTAGTACTGTCAATAAATTACATAACCATTAATAGTGAATTGTATGTTCCTATTATTTTATGCAGTCTTGACTGAGAGGGAGTAAAACTGGCACATAGGAAAATGAGGGTTTAACTAGTTCAGAGAATATATGTGTGTGTGTGTGTGTGTGTGTATACACACACACACACACACACACACACACACACACATATATATATATATATATATATATATATATATATATATATATATATATATATATATATATAATATCTTATATATCGTATATAATATATAGCCATTTGGGGTCACAAAGAGTTGGCCATGACTCAAAACAACTGAAAATCAATGAGAAATAGTATGGTGTAGCAGACAGAGCACTGGCCTTAGAATGAGAAAGACCTGAATTCCAGTTTTGCCTCTAGCTATGTGATCACGGACCAGTCACCTAACTTCTTAGTGCCCCAGTTAACTCTGTAAGACAAAACAGTTACCATTGAGTTCTAGATCTGCTTTGTTAAATGGAGTTTACCCACAGGGAGTTCTACACATTGATAAAATCATAGGTCTAGATCCCCCCCCCAAAAAAAATAGATAGTTTTTCCTGACATCAATTCTAAATCTATCTTTCCAAAATCTTTAGCTATTGCTCCTAAATCTTCCCCTGGGGCCAATCAGAACAAATCTAATCCCTTTTCCATTTGAGAGCTTTTCAGCTACTTGAAGAGTTTCTCCAAGTCTCTCCTAAGTCTTTTCATCTTCAAGCTAAAAATCCTCAGTTTCCCTAGATGGAGAATGTCATCACAGTGTGTTCTCATATTTAATAATCCTTTATTGATTAGTCAACAAATAAATTAAAAATTTCAATTAATTGATTAATCAACTAATTAATTACTGAGTATAAGTTTTCCTAAGATTGTAAATTCTTAGAAAGCAGGAGCAAAGTCTGTATTACCCTTACAGTACTATTTTTAATTAGACATTTAATAAATGCTTTTTATCTTTGGAGACAAAATTGGTGGGAGGAATAACAATTGTGACAATTAGATCTTCCCCTCTCCTGAATGACCTGAATCCATTTAGATTCCTCTACATAAGTTTCATTTTGTGGCGTTACAAGGAATTCCTACAGTCCATGGAAGATTTGCCTCTGAGAATTCCACTTAATGGATACCACGATGAAACTTTTCTTATGAGTCTTGACTGTAGTATTACTTATTTTTCTAGATGCCATGTTTTCTAGACACTATGATTAGTGTCCTTTATACGGATATTACATAGAAGAATAGGGAGTGGATCTGGGATTTCTTTAATTAAAATTTATTTTAATTGACAGAAATAAATTTTCAAAACACATATCCTATAACAAATATGTATAGTCAAGCAAAACAAATATTATTTGGCCATGCTACAGCTATCTATCTATCTACATATGCATGCATTTATATACATGTGTGTGTATACATATACATACATACATATGTATGTCTATATATCTATACATTTCTCTGTCAGGAAGTTGGTAGAATGCTTCATCACCAGTCCTTTGGATTCATGAATGATCTGATAGCTTTCAAAGTTATTTGTTTTTAGAGTGTTATGATTATATGAATTGTTCTCCTGGTTCTGTTCACTTTGTATCAGTTTGTACAAGTCTTTCCATGTGTTTAAATTATCTATTTCCTCATTTCTTGTATCACAATAGTATTCTATGACATTTACATAGCACAGTTTGTTCACCCAATTGATGAACACGTCCTTAATTTCCAGGGAGTTTTTGCAAAAAGAAAAAGAAAAAGAAAAAGAGCTGCTATAAATATTTTTGGATGTATGAGACCCGTGGTTTCAACGGTAAAAGGAACTCTGTGGTGAGGAGACTCTCGCTATTAATGCAGACCAATACATTCTCTACAACTTGTAGCTAGAGAGTCGCCAAGGCACCGAGCAGTTAAGTGGTTTGTTGGAAGTCACCCAGTCAGTATATGTCAGGGACAGGACTTGAACCTAGCCATACTGACTCTCTGTCAAAGTAATCTTCCCAAAGGGTAGGTTCAACAATAGCACTCCCCTACTCACATGCCAAGATAAATCCTTTATCCTGGCATTCAAGGCTCCCCAAGCATACCTTTCCAGTCCTATTTCATGCTACTTCCTTTCATGCACTCTATATCCTGCTAAACTGAAACTACTGATAGCTGCCTGATTTTATCTTGGCTTGTCCTATCTCTCTGCATTGTCACACATCACCCATGTTAGGATGTATTCCCTCTTCATCTCTGCATGCTGAAATCCTTCTCTTCTTCAAGGCTTGACTTACTAGAGATGCTACTTGCTTGATGAAGTTTTCCTTTATTCCTTTAGCATAATTGAATTATTTCCTCTAAAAGCTTTCCTGAGTACCTTGGATCTCACCTTTGTCCTTCTCATGTTCTGCATTGTATTATATCTTTCTGTGTATGTGTTGTATTCTCCCAAGGACTTTAAGCTTGTAGAAGTCAGGGATTATGTAATTTTTCATTTTTTAAAAAATTCTCATTCCTAGCACAGTGCTTTCCACATTACAGATACATGGAATGTTTATTGGTTGAATGAATTGATAAATGCATGAACAAATGAGTGAGCAAACAAGTGAATGAACTAATGAATAAATGAATGTACTAGGCTACTGGAAGACTCTGCCTGGAATCCTCTATCCTTTATCTACTAAAGCACTTAGTTTGATAACCCAGAGGCTCTGTGCTTTTTATTGGTTTTATAAGTCAAAAGCTTCTCCAAGGTAGGACAATTTCTGCGTGATGTGTTCACAATCATATTGATTTGTAAATGCTTGTTTTTCATTTTAGAGAATGCTCGACTGAGTTTAAGATTAAAGACATTTCTTAATTTTTGAAAAAAAGGGTAACAAAGATTTCCTTGTTAAACCATCAATCATGGGCATTAACACTATGTTACAAAGTGCTATTTATTAAGACAGTCAACAAGTTTTTAACTTAAGTTTCATTTTAGAAATGACAGTAGAGTAAATGTAAGCCTCAGGATAAAAATGAACTTTATATCCTGTTTTTATTCAGTCATGTAGTTTTCCTGGTAGAATTCTTTTTCATTTGAACTTCTTAGATTTCTCTAGCTAAAATTTCTTTGATTTCTTTCCCCACATACATATCTCTGTTTTTGGTCGATAATTCTTCAGAACTACCTGAAGTGTCTCACAAGACTTTCCAACATTGAGAACTGAATCAATTGAAAGATAAAGTCAATCTATCCTTGCTGTATTTCTAAGTGGTAAGAGTTTTCAACTATAAAATCAATAGTTACAATACACCCTAAGCTTCCTTTGTTGAGAAACTAATCAATGTATAGAAAAGCTTGCTGTGTTCTAATCTGATGAAGATTATTTTCTCAGACAAGGGCTGAATCTGGCTGTTGATTTGTTCAGTAATAGACTTTCACATAAGTTTATCTAGCTCAAAAGAGAAAAATTTTAAACTCAAAAGCATATGGAAGTGATTATTGATAAATCAAAATAAATTAATAAAATAAATAAAAAAAAAGAAATGCCAGGAGCAGCACAGAGATCTGTACACAATACTGATCTGACTAAGACCTTTGATATTGTCAGTCACAAAGGCTCGTGGAAGATCAAGGCAAAATCTGGTTACCAGGAGTTCATCAGCATTGTATGCCAGTTCCATGATGGCATGCTTACCTGGATAATGGACGATGACCTTGAGCTTTCCCAGTCACCAAAGGAATGAAGCTGTGCTGTGTGCTTGCTCCCATGCTTTTTATTTTTATTATTTTTTTGTTTGTTTTTGGCTTTTTGATGAGGCAATCAGGGTTATGTGACTTGCTCAAGGTTTTAGAAAAAAATATAGAGAGAGAACTGAGTCAAATTAATAAGAATACAAATAATGCCCCAACTGATAAATGGTCAAAGGATATGAACAAGCAGTTTTCAGAGGAAAAAATTATAGCTATCTATAATTATATGAAAAAATGCTCTAAATCACTGTTGATTAGAGAAATACAAATTGAAACGACTGTGGGGTACCACCTCACACCTATCTGATTGACTAAAATGACAGAAAAGGAAAATGATAAATGTTGGAGAAACTGGGAAAATTTGAACACTAATGCATTGTTGGTGGAGTTGTGAACTGATCCAGCCATTTCTGGAGAGGAAATTGGAACTATTCCAAAAGGTCAACCAAACTGTGATCCAGTAATACCACTACTAGATCTGGACCCAAAGAATAAAAAATGTAAAAGGACCCACATGTAAAAAAATATTTATAGCAGCTCTTTTTGTGGTGGCAAAGAATTGGAAATTGAGGGTATGCTCATCAGTTGGGGAATGGCTGAACAAATTGTGGTATATGAATGTAATGGAATACTATTGTGCTAAGAGAAACAATGAGCAGGCACATTTCAGAAAGACCTGAAAAGACTTAGATGAACTAATGCTGAGTGAAATGAGCAGAACAGGAAAACCACGTACACAGCAACAGCAACATTATGTGAGGATTAGCTATGATAGACTTAGCTCTTCTCAGCAATACAGTGATACAAGACAGTTCCAAAAGACTCATGATGGAAAATGCTAACCACATCCAGAGAAAATTTATGGAGTCTGATGTAGATTGAAGCATGCTGTTTTACTTTAAAAATTTTTTTTTCTTTCTCATGGTTTTTCCCTTTTGTTTTGATACTTGTTTCTCAGCATACTAATGTGGAAATATGTTTAACATGGTTGTACATGTATAACTTACATCAGATTGCTTACTGTCTTGGGGAGGGGAGAGAGAAAAAAATTTGGAACTCGAAATTTTACAAAAATGAATATTGAAAATATCTTTACATGTATTTGAAAATTATTCTTTTGCCCCCCTCCTTATTAAGGGAGGGAGGAAGTTCCTCCAACCTACCCACTAGGTCCTTCCTGGATCACACAAGTGAAAAAGCTACTTTTCAATAAAAGTACTTAAATATTTGTGAGCACTGAACAACTCATTCAAGGCTCTCTTTATGGAATGATTAAGTCTGTCCTTGAAAGCAATAACATTAAATAAATGCAAGTGCTGATCAGGAATCTTAACTGACTATGCCAAGATGTACTTCAAGACTCTCACCTCTGTGGTAACAGGCAGGGAACGTGCAATGAAGTAGAGGAAACCTATCATTTTCTATGCACTTTATTAAGTCCTCAGAGTTCTTGCTAAAGCTATAGAAAACAAATGTGTCATCCATACATTGATGACGTCCCGCTCCCCTTCTAGATACTATACCTGATGCATAGTAAGCCATGTTTACCCTACTCCCACCACCATGGTGCTCATAGACATTGTTCCCTTATCTCCTACCCTAAATATCACTTAAACAACAGTGTCAGATGCTGTGCTTCTGTTGCTATTCAAAAGTCCTGTGCTGACCCATTCCCAGCTCCAGCTGGAAGTTATTTCTGCTGTCATGGCAACAGCGCTGTTGCTTCTTACCAATACCTCACTTCTTTCTCTAGTTGTGTTGACCAGTTCTGTATTTGTGTATTCCTGTGCTCTTGTAGTAGTCATCTTCTTCCTGTTAGTGTCTAATGAATCTCATGTATCAGTCCCAAGGACTAAGGACTCCTATTTCTTCCTCTTTTCCTCCAGTCTCTCTTTGTATCTTTTAGATATGTGTGTGTTTACACACACACATGCACACATACACATATGTTGTTATATGTATACACATACATAGTCATATGTTATGCTTATATACATAAATAATATATTAAAATAAAGCTAGAGAAGTTATTGGAAGTGCCCTGAAGTGCCCTCTACTTTACATCTTTGGAACCAAGCCAATTCTTGCCCAGGTTCCATTCCCTCCCCCCTATATTTTACTGGTCTTAGACATTTTAACATATCAAGAAGCACAATGTGATTAATTTTCAAATGTTGGTTATAGACAATACATATTACAAGTTAAGGGGAAGAAATGATCATTGTGGTCTGAGGCGACCTCAGAATATTTCTTTTTTTTTTTTTGGCAAGGCAGTTGGAGTTAAGTGACTTGCCCAGGGTCACACAGCTAGCAAGTGCCAAGTGTCTGGTCTGAGACTGGATTTGAACTCATGTCCTCCTGACTCCAGGATTGGTGTTCTATCCATTGCGCCACCTAGCTGCCCTGACTTCAGAATATTTCATGAAGGATATGACTCTTGAGTTGGTTCCTGAAGAATGGGTAGGATTTGGATAGGAAAAATGCCAGGGTAGGGTAGGTAATGCAGGGATCAGCCAATAGTCTTTCCACTGCCCTATGCTGCCCCACATACAATGCTAGGTGTTATGGCTATAAAGGCAAAAAAAAAATTTACTCCATACTCTTCAAGGAGCTTCCGTGGAATCAAAGAATTAAAATTCTAGAGCTGGAAGTTATTATCAAAAGATTCTTTCCTAATTTTGAATTGTTATCATATCTACATCTGTATTATTGCCTCTATAGTTTTTCTGTCTCCTACTCTTAGTTCAGATCCATAGGTTTACTTCTTAAATCTTCAGCTTCTTAGAGAATTATGAAAGACAGCGTGTTCTTCTGTGGTAGAATGCTTAGAAAGAACTTGGGATAGAAACAGAATAACTTCTTCAATACCGTGTGTGTTTACGTAAGCTGTTATTTTTAACACATGAAATGTAAACATAAAGAACACAGATTATCTTCACATTTAGATTGTATAACTTTGTATTAATAGTTTGATTGGAATTTTATCAGAAAACTATCACTTCTTTCAGTGTTGCCTAAGTTACTAACCTCTCTAAGCAACTCCCTGGGACTTAACTACTAAGTTACAGATGGATTTCATGGAGGATTTTCCCACACTGGGCCCTCCACGAGCTGACAGAATCAGAGGTCCTTGATAGACTGAGCTATTACCTTCAAAGAATATAAAGGTTTTGCTTCATTCAAATTTGCTGTAATCGTTTGGTTTCCAGAAAATCCCAATGGTAATTGTAATTTTGTAGTAACAATAGGAAAGTAAGATTCCTTACTTAGGAAGTAAGAAATTACTTCCTAATTTCTTAGGAGTATCTATAAAATGAGGTGTATCTCTATCTATACTGTAACATCCTTCACCTGTGGTTATCTTTGTCTCTGTTTGTGTTATTTGGATACCCTCCACCCCCGGCAAAAGAAATAAGCAACCAAAAGTTGAAAAAAATCCGTGTGAATTGGTCTGTGTATTTAAGCCTTTCAGAAATACAGAGTCATAATAAAAATAATTTATTTTTCTTTTACCCAGAACGTCTTACTTGATGGATAATCTAGCTTAATCATTGAATGAGGAGACCATTTGAATGCTAATGCCTTTAGTGGGTTGGTGATGCTACTGTCTGGAGGCCCTTTGACCTAGATACCCTAACAAGAGTGATTACAAAGTAACAGATGGAGTCTAAGAGAACAGAGGTGAGTGAAATGGATTCTAGGGCCCTGTAGGCCCTAGATTCTAGGTTCAGCTTCTGATTCAGTTTCAGGGCTGCCATAGAGGCTGAAGATTGAAATTTTTAAGTCTGTTCTAGTCCAAATTTCACACCCAGGAAACATCCACAAGGTTTCCTTGAAGCTTCTCTACATTTAGATCTAGGTCAGGGGGGCATTTTAGCAAATGGAGTGGACACGGTATCTTCTGGTCGTCACTGTTTGCCTGCTCAGCTCTTCGTAGCAGTAATGTAAGTGCTTAACGCATGCTATTTCCAATTACGTAGGGAATTGCCACCAAAATAAAGTACATTCTCTGATTCTGGCTATCATATTCACTACAAGTGTTTAAGTAACTGACTTAAGCAAACAAAGTTGCCAAAAGATCTGAGAATACAGAAGATTGGCTAAAATTATACAAAAAGAGCCAATGCCTAAATGAAGGACAGACAACTTCAGTAACAATTCTTTCCTGCTTAGTTATCTGTACCATTTTATAGTGTAATAATAAGCCTACCTGATTTTCTCTCCTTTTAAGACATTCAGACTTGGGAAAGAACCAGCAAAATTGCATTAAATATGTATATCTATATTAGTGAAGGAATTTTTATTAGTTTAAAATTAAACTATTTTTTGGGGGAAAGTGGCATTATATATTTAAATGCTATTAATAAGATATCTCTCCTAAGTATAATTTCCTGTATATTAAGTTCTTTCTCTGTGGTTTAATGAAAAGAGCACTTACTCTGGAGTCACTGGCTTTGCCTTCATTCAATTTGTGCCTTTGATGTTTACCACATATTTGGTCTTAGGCAAATCACTTAAAATTTCTGGGCCTCAGTTTCCTCATCTGTAAAAGGAAAGGCTCATATATGGCTTCTGATGTCTCTTCCATATCAAAATCTTTGATTTCCATAAAAGATGTTTGAGGCTTCTTTAAAACAATCATGAAAGTGATAATTCAGATGCATGATGAGATATATTGGTTGTCTACAAAATGTTGCTTATTACATTGAAAATCCATAAATAAATAACCAAGATGACTTAGAACCATGTTATGAAGCTCATAAGAGGAAAGCTCTTTACTTTGTGTGAATATTCCATACTATGACCTGATTAATCAAGTGGATAATGGAAAAATATGTTGAGCTGAGTTTTCCTGTAAAGTATCATGTAGCGTAATGTGATCTTGGATAGACTTTGAGAGATAGTGGAGGGTAGAAGGGCCTATTGTGCTTTGGTGCATGGGACCACAAAGAATAAGACATGGCTGAATGACTGAACAACAGCAAAAACATAATGTGATAAGAAGGAAGAAATTGGGAAATCAGCCTGGGGTGTTCAAGTTGGTAGAAGCATGGTATGGTTACTTGTAGCACTAGTTGAAAAATTATACATTAAAACAGATGCCCATAAATTGTAAAATAGTTTTTTTAATGTGGTACAGAAATGTAATAGATATACTTCTGTACCATAAGAAAGGATGAATATGAAGAATTATACGACTGATGGAAAGTAAGGTAAGCAGAATCAGGAAAACAGTATATATAATGACTATCACAATGTAAACAGAAGAACAACAATACCTCAACAAACCAAATTCTGGATGATAAAGGTTGGCACTAAAGAAGATAGAAGAAAATGCATGTTTCCCTTTTCTTTACAGAGACAGGGGGACTGAGTATGGAATACTGCATACGTTGTCAGACTTTGTTGATATGTCTGTTTGGCTGAACTACTCTTTCCCTCTCTTTCTGACCTAGCATAGCTCTAATTTATGCAATTGCTAAAATGGTAGCAAAGGCAATGTGACTGATTTTGAGATGATGGGAAGGTGGATGGGGATTAGAAGGTATCAACTTCACCCAGCAGTTCTGAGGAATGAACACATTTTTCTCCCACTCTGGCTCTGCTTTCAGTCAACAGAGTAAAATAGAGTTTCTACTGGTGATGTGTAGAATCTGGTCCTCAGAGTTTGGTGTCCATGGAGCCGTATAGTACTTCAGAAAGAAGAAAAGAAAGATCATATCACAATGGTGTAACACAGATGCACTGGCTTCTTGTTCCTGGGTGGGTGACTTTCTCTTTTGTGGTTAGGACCATGGTCGCGTGCATGCAGAAGGCATGAGTAGCCTTCCTTCAGGGAAAGAGTCAAAGGGAAAGTCTTTTAGAATGTGCTGGTATACTCACCCCACATTATGCCTACAAATGACTCTGGTTCCTTTGTCCTATGAGTACTTTAGTGGGGCTGCTCTTTTTGCTGAGACATTAGCACACCATGTACCCCTGGAGAGTACCTTGTGATGAGTTCATACAAAAGGATCAGCAAAGACTGTGTCTCTCTTTTAGATCTTCTGAAAATACCCTCCTCCGTCCTCCATCATAACTGTAGAGTCTGATGAACGAAAAATAATATTCAAAGTTTTGATAACTGTAACTTTGTCCATTTGTATTTGTAGACCTCAAAAACTGGAAAAACCGAATGTGAACAATTTAATGCTCTGTTCCCAAGTGAGATTAAGGGTTACATATTAATGGAAAACAGAGGAAACAGAGTGAAGGGAAGGCCAATTAGAAATCAGGAGGTTCAAGCCCTCTGTCATTAACTAGCCATAAGACCTTAGGTATTTAACTTTCCTGGGGTTCAGCTCTCTATAAAGTGAAGGAATTGAATTGGAAGATCTCTAAAGTATTGCATAACTCCCAGGGATCCAAGAAGACTGGAAATAGGATGAATTTGGATTTTGGGACAGACATATCTAGAGCTAACAGGATTTTGTAAGATTTGATCCCAAAAAGCTACAGAAAGCTAGACTTTGAATTCACTTTCTACCCATAATTGCTGCCTCATGTGTAGATTGCACCTGATACATAAAACTTTTACTGCCTGTTGTTAAAATAGTTTTTATTACAGTCTAAATTTGGCTCAGAATTGGTTGCTGTTATAAGGATTAACTATGAAATGGAATGTGGGGAGTAAAAGTTGGGCTAGGCTACAGCTAGACTAATTGCCACAAGAAAGAACTCCTAGCCCTCAGGGGCTGCCAGCCAAGGAACAGAACATATGCTACTGGCATATAGAATTCTGGCAAAGAAGCTAATAATGAGGAGGGTAATGCTTCTGCCAATATGAAAAGAGGAGAAATAATGGATACTTTGCTTCTGATTGCACTGCTTGTAGCTTGGGGAGATGGTAGCAGGGCAACAACAGAAGAGTTTTTTACAGCCCTTGGAGATTGCATATGACAAAATACTACAACTGCCTGAGTTAAAAGTAAAGTTTTATGGAGTGAATCAGTTTGCCAAAGAAGCTCTTTTTGTAAACTGAGTTGCTTGAATATGATTAAGAAAAAATGAACTTACTTATTGGAGACTTCAGAAGCTAAATAGCTTTTTGGAAGCAAAAAAACATTTTAGATAATCACATAATCAGATATATTATTAAAGGCATAAATGATGGTTTAGTCAATATGTGAAAAAAAATTTATCTTCGTAAGATGTAGGTGTGATATTTTTCGACTTCAAAATAAAAACATGATGTCTAGCAATAGGTTGAAATGCATCTGGTATGGATTTATTGGAGAAAGGGGTGAAAATGTAAATAATAATTAACTGAAATGGGAGAGACTTTTAGAATTAGACAATGTAAGCTCCTTGAGGGTGGAGACTGTCTAGTTTTTAATCTTTATGTGTCCAAGTGTTGACATAAATAGATACTTAATCAATGCTTTTAATTGAATTAAAGGAAACAAGGGAAAAAGTGTACATAATGAATGAGATATATAATAAATGAAAATACGCAAGAGGATGAACTGTTGCAAGCAACTGAGTACATGATGTCAGTGAGCAAGGAAAGCCTATCCAGATAGATTGACTTTAATTAACTATATCTGGAGAGCCTATTAATGCAATGTTAAAATAATTGAGTTGTAGCAGTCTTCACAATGGGAGAGTTTCCGAGAGTTTTCAATTACAAAGTTCTATGACAAAAGAATCTTGCTGCTTGGATCTGTATTCTGTTTTGGAGCCATTTAATAGCCAACTTCAAAGTAGAGGAGTGACCAGGAGATCCAAGGGTGAGGAGATAATAGATCATGGGATTATAGATTTATATAGCTGGAAGGGAGGTCAACAAATCCAACCCTCTGTTATCCTCCCCATTACATAGATGAGGAAAATGAGGCCCAGAGTGGTCAAATGATTTGCCCAGAATCAACCCACAAATAAATGTCTGTCAGGATTTGAGCCTAGATCTTGCTGATTTCACGTCCAATGCTCTATTCATGATACTGTGTTGTCTCTTGATAAGCTTCCTGTTAGATTTTTCTTAGGAAGTTGACTTCTAAACATATTTTCTTTGGTTTTAAAGATGAATAATGGTAATGTGGATACCAAGATTTTATTAAGTGTAAAACTCTAGTAGAAATAGTAATTTGGAGGAGACTACATTTAGCTTATTTACTAGCTTAGCAGCTGTCATATACAAGAATTTTTTTGCAAAATTTTGTAAAAACAAAACAAAACCAACCAACAAACAAAACCAACCAAAAAACCAAACCCGCAACACTAAATGAAACAATATTAACCGAGGTTTAGGAGGATCTAATGGCACTAGACCTCAAAACATTTCTTATCATCAAACAATGGGCTTAATGATTTTATAGGTAGATTTTATAATGTTATGATGGGGTTTGGGCATAATATATTCACAATATCATTGCTAAACAACATCATTTGGGGCAATGTTATGCAGTCTATGTTTATGTCAAATTAAAAGAACAAAGCTTTGTGTCATAGCATGTGCCAGGAGACTAATGAAAACGAAGCTGTCTGGCTTGTAAGCTAGAGTTTCGAAATGGTTAGTTTGAGACAAATTTCATGACCTTCTTCTCTGTGGAGTAGCAGTGAAAATTATAGCATTCAGTAATTTTTTAATAAAGATTTATATGCTAACTACCACCAACCTGGATGGCCTAGGATGAATATCTATTTTGCTTTTGCATAAATTTGAGTTATTTCACAAGCTGAGTAAAGTGAATATGGATGCTGAATTCACTTGCCTGGGGGTGGAATGGAAAAAAAAATAGAGGCCACAAAGGAGAAAAAATTGCTAAGATGTTCTTTAGTCATCAAGAAGATTGCACTGTATGGAACCATTCAGTGATGGAAGTCTTTGGGGATGCTTATGTAAGTCCAAGCAGAAATTCACAGGAGAAAGGAAAGAAGGAAGGAAGGAAGGAAAGAAGGAAGGAAGGAAGGAAGGAAGGAAGGAAGGAAGGAAGGAAGGAAGGAAGGAAGGAAGGAAGGAAGGAAGGAAGGAGGGAAGGAGGGAAGGAAGAAAGGAAGAAAGGAAGAAAGGAAGGAAGAAAGAAAGAAAGGGAGGAAGGAAGGAAGGAAGGAGGGAAGGAGGAAAGGAGGAAAGGAAGAAAGAAAGGAAGAAAGAAAGAAAGAGAAGGAAGGGAAGGAAGGAAGGAAGGAAGGAAGGAAGGAAGGAAGGAAGGAAGGAAGGAAGGAGTATATTGGTTTGTAATCAGGAAGGTGATGCCATGACTTATAAGTGAATTGGATTTAAGTGAGAGAGGGCTATGCAAGTCACCAGTTTCACTTTCTCCACTGGAGCCATCTGGATCCAGTGGCCAGATATAGATCAGGATGACTGGAAATGCCCCTGATACAGTGGGAGACCTTGGCCTTTTAAAGCTAAAGTCTTTCCCAGGTCTCAGTTTGACTGAGGCAATGCCCATTCAGTGATTAAGACTAAGTAAGAAATGAGGCAAAGAATGGCCTCTTTTACCTAGTCAAAAAAAAAAAATCAATCTGGGAGGGGAAGACCCTTAGGATTTCTGGCCAAAACAGAAACAATTGCTATTTACATTCACTCTGAGCTATCAGGGCCCAAACAATGACCAAGTGAGGTTTGGCCTGGGACCTATTGTTGGCCAATCAGTGAGACCCAGAGTGAATTGGATTTAGAGCCTGGTCCTTAAGAAAGAAATCTAGCCCATAAACCCCAAGATGTCTTGAGAGGTTTCAGTGATCAAAATTTACATTCCTTTGGACAGAGCACCCAGAGGTAAGGATATGATATCCTATGTGGACTGAGGGGGAGGAAGGAAGAAGGGGAAGGGAAGGGAAGAGAAGGGGGAAAGGGGAAGGAAAGAGCTGTTTCATCCAACTGGAACTGGCCAGTTGTGTCCCCACTGGGGCAGCTCATACTGCTCACACGTTGTTTTTTGTCCTTCCTTTCAAAGAGAACCGTGACCTCAGGAAGATGATGCTATGACTTGCAAATGAATTGGATTTAAGTGAGGGAGGCCTATGCAAAATCACCAGCCTTACTTTCTCCTCCTTAATCCCCCAAATCTACAACATTATCTAAATTTACAGAAATGAATTAACAAAGCATTTATCAAGCATTTACTATATACAAAGCACTGTGCTAAATGTTGAGGTTTCAAACAGAAGAGCAAGACAATCTTTGCTCTCCAGTAGCTCACATTTTAATGGTGGAGATATCACTTAGAGAAGGATCAGCTTCAAGTAGATTGAGGGGCTTTATTGTCCTCTGGGTATGGGTGCAAAACAGGTGGTGATGCTTCTTCTTTCATGCCATTTTCACTGATCAAGTGATACTGGGTTTTGATGTTGAACCGTTTTACAATGTCAGGACATTGGTGATAAATATTACACTATTCTATCTATAATGTACCTTTCAAATAAGCCTTGTTTATTAAGAAAATATCCTAAGACTATGAAACTTTTTTTTTGAGTGGCTACTTAAGCAACATGAGGTCATGGAAAATATACTGAACTTAGAATAAGGAGAGATTAAGATGTGTGACCATGGGTAAGTCATTTAACTGAGCTTTAGTTTCCATGTCTGTAAAATAGGAGTAATAATACATGTAAGTTCTATCGCACAGTATTGCTACACACACACACACACACACACACACATGCACACACACATATATATACATATACACCTATATATACACACTGAAAACTTTAAAGCACTATAAATTGCCTTGCATTATTATTATTAATATTATTTGTTATTCAAATAGGTTTTTAAAAGGTTAAGCTATCTCTTGGTCATATCACTTTTTTTCTTTAAAAGGGCAGTAATAATGTCTGTTATACTTAACAGTAAAGATTAAATAGGGTGTTTTATATAAAGCAACTTGCAAATCTTGTGATGCTATATGAATGAGTAAATGAATGAATGAATAAAGCATTTATTAAATACTTACCATGTGCAGAGTACTTTATTGGGGATCAGATAGAAAAGTAAGACAGCCCTTGGGTTCAGGGAGTTCACATTCCAAAGGGGAAAGACAACACATATGGAAGATTTCACTTGTGAGATGGAAAAGTCCCGTGGTCCTTAGAGTACAACATTCAAACAGATGTGAATGCTTCTTCTTCAATGTCATTTCCACTGATAAGATCATATTTGTTTCTGATGTTGTTCTTAAATAAATACCAGTTTTTTATGCCCAAAGGGCAATCAAACTATCCAGCAATACCACTACTAGGTCTGTATCCCAAAGAGATCATAAAAAGGGAAAAGAACCCACATATACAAAAATATTTATAGTAGCTCTTTTTGTGGTGGCAAAGAATTGGAAATTGAGTGGCTGTCCATCAATTGGGGAATGGCTGAACAAGTTGTGGTATATGAATGTAATAGCATACAATGGTGCTATAAGAAATGATGAGCAGGAGGATTCAGAAAAACCTGGGAAGACTTACATGAACTGCTGCTGAGTGAAGTGAGCAGAACATTGTACAGAGCAACAGCAATATTGTGAGATGATCAACTATGATAGACTTAGCTTTCTCAGCAACAATGATCCAAGACAATTCCAAAGAACTCATGATGGAAAGTGCTATCCACATCCAGAGAAAGAACTGATGGAGTCTGAATGCAGATTAAAGCATACTATTTTTACTTTTGTGTGTGTGTGTGTGTGTTTCCTTTTGTTCTGTTTCTTCTCTCACAACATGACTAATATGGAAATAATGTTTATGTGATTACACACATATGATCTATATCAAATTGCTTACTGTTTTAGGGTGGGATCAAAGAAAGAAAGGAAGGAAGAACTCAAAAAATTTTAAAAATGAATATTAAAATTGTCTTTATATGTGTGAATGGAATTATGATTTCATATTAATTGATATGATATGTATAATGAATATACTAATAATTTAGATCTCTCAGAGCTGCCTTTTCTGGCTTGGGGGTCAGAAACTCACAATGTAGCTTGAAATGATCAGTCAAAGCTTTGACAATGCTCTCACAATCATTGCATTCCTGTGCCTATATACCTTATGTGAAGCAAATCAAAGATTGTAGAACCTGTTCCTATCACAGAATGCTGGTCCTGTGCCCGACCACATAATGACCCCCAAGACTGGAAACAATCAACTTGAGAACTGTTCCCACAAGACTCAAGAACACTTGTGTTGTCCTACATTCGTGTGCTTGTGGGGAAACCACTCAGGCCCTGGAAATGATTATGTTGTAATCCACCTTCCCCACCTTTTTCCACTTGTGCTTTATGTATATAAACTGTGCCTTCACTCCAGCATGTGGAGCTCTCCTCAGAAGGATTTCAAAAGGTCTGCAGACCACATTCCCCACTTTAAAAATAATGAATTAAACTGCTGTTTGTTTCCTGGCACTCCTGTGTGTGGCCTGTTTTGTGTGGCTCTGACTCTTCACAGGTTAGAGATTGGTCCTGTCTGGACTAATATAAAATTCTGTTAACGTAAGTAATTGGAAAAAATAAAAAACCTATTATTAAAAATGCCAGTTTTTGTTATACTGTAGCAGGTGAGAAACCTCAAGTATCTATACACGTAAAAGAGGAGAATCATGGCCCTTGCCTCCACCATTACAGTTGCTTCATATCTCCTTTCTGAAGCAAAACTGAAATCTGGCATCAGTGACTTATTATGAAGGAAATAAATTAAAAGAGAAGGAATTAGTCATAGCATTGGGCTTTTTTTTTCCCCCTAGTTGACAGAACTTGGAAGTAACAGTTGGAAGTTTCAGATGGGCAAATTTAGGCTTGATGTAATAAAAAAGATTCCCAACCACTGGCTCTGACCAGAGGAGAAATGAACTTCTTTTGGAGGCAGTGGGCTCTCCTTCACTTGTGATCTTTAACCCAAGGCTAGATGATGGCTTACCAGGTAGAGTGGAAGCATTTTCCAATACTCTTACATTTGCTTGCCAGTCATAATCATAAATGTGATACCCTTATATATAAAAGTCTTATGGGTAGTGTTACAAGTTGGAGTTTGTATTTGGGACTAGACCTTTGATTTAGGTGATTTAAGGAACTTTAGGTGAGAACCTAAACCAACAGAACTCAGCAATTACTCTGTAATTCGTAGTCTTAGTGAGTTGTCTGGAGCACTGAGATTAAGTGATTTTTTGGGCATCCAGTAACCAGAAGGAGACAGAGATGAAACTTGAACTCAAGCTTTCAAGATTCAAAAGTCACTGAATCAGGCAGCCTCTCACCTATAGAAATAGTGTGCTTTCAGATTTGGAGATTGGCTCAGAAGAATTAAGAATTAAGAAATTCAGGGCCTTAGATCAACAATGGTATCTTTTTTTCTTCTTTTTGTTGCTTTTTGATATCTTCTGCTCTGAGATCGCATAGATAAGGACTGTCTCACAGACTCCAGCCAGGGCCATGAGGGCAGACCCACCATTTCTATGCAGTAAATAATAAATTTGTTAAGATGTAGCTGACAAGGAATTTTGCAGAAGAGTTTAATTATGGTAAAGACAGAGTGAATGAAAGTTCTCTTTTGGTTTCAGACATAGAATGACCTCTGCCTGAACCCAGGTACTAGAATCCTCTCTTTTGTGCTTATGTATTGTACAACACCAGAATACTAAACCACTGGATGGGACCTTTGATGCAAGATCCATTCAGGACTCATTTCCAGACAAAGGACTCAATTTCACATAAAAGGTATGTCCATGGCCTAGCTTAGTGTGGTTTCCACCCAGATCAAATCCAGGTTTCTGGGAAGATCCATTGTCATCATCGGGAGTGCTATAGGGGAATTTCCTCTGTGGTTAGAAGTGTAAAGTCCCGCTCACTTTTATATTTTCTATCTCTTTAATGCAAATTTTTTTTGCTCTTGCCTCATGGCTAATTATACTACAATGTTCTCTTAAATCCTCAGTGACTTTAACAAAGTCCATCACTGAGTGAATTTGACTCTACCTTCTAACCCTATTCATCCTTCTTTTTTCTCTCCTTTCAAAGATGGATGCAGAGACAGCAGATCATACCACATTTTCCTCACTGATCATTGTCCTAGAACCCTTGGCAAGTCAAGTAACTGGTGAATTATTATCAACACATTCCGAGAAGGAACTTATTCTGTGACTTAAGGAGAAATCTAGGAGGTCCCTTTTTCTCTATAATAGCTCACAAACTGATCTGAAGATCCTGGCCTCTGCATGAGACTTGACCTACAGGCCCAGAACAAGACATGCTTCCAGCTCCTTCCCATTCTAGAAGTACCTTCAACAAATGTGAAGTGCTCATATCTTTATGCTTCATTTCTTCATTATATTTCCGGCCAGGCTTTCAATAAATGTTGCTAAGATATATACAAGATTGGCTCATAGAGTGTTGTTTTTTTAATCTCTGATATGCAGGTAGATTCATCCATTAGAGGGCATTTACTAATAAATAATGGGGCAACAGAGAGGAAAGAGATAATACTTAATACTGAGTATAATACTTGACTTGACTCTTCTGGACTATTTGGAAGGTATATAAATCCCTGTCATGTATAACCCTCAGGAATCTAAGAGTAAGAAGAGAGCCAAACTAATCACAATATGTTGGGAGGGCCCTCAAAGGCTCTCCAGACCAACTCCTTTACTGAAGGAATCCTTTCTACAACACGAATTTCAGAGATGGGAGAGGTAGTGAATGAGTGAATCAAGGAAAGAATAAATGAGTCAATGAGTCAATGAATCACTTTGGGCACTGAACCCCAATAGGACTCAGTTTTCCCATGTAGATGATGGGGTTGAACACAATGAACTACTTTGATCCCTTCGAGCTATGAATCTGTGATCCTATGACCCAGAATTAAATATGTGGAATTTAATGTGCGTTCTGAAATTTTTAGTGATCCTGAAGACAAAGAAACTACAATTGCAATTGTCTTATTGCAATTATCTATGTTCTTTACTGAATTATGTAATGTTATGTCTTTCAGTGTTAATATCCTTGAATGAACTGTTTAGAAACCAGAAATACATCAGAGGAGAATATTCCCCTCTTCCTCTCTTCCCAAGGTACCCTCCCCTGCCCTTACCACTTACAATAGTTGGTATGCCCCTTGGGTAGGATGGGGATTACTAAACTTCACAGATGGATATAATAAAATTAAAACAGAATGGCTCCCTAGCCTCTGGAGAAGAAAAAAAAACAGATCTGTATGGCCAAAACTGACTGGGCCTGATGTTGAGTCCTAAGGTAACCCTGCAATTTTGAGATGGAGAATCTTCTAATTTCAAGCTTTTGCTTTGTTCAGTTGTTTCAGTCATGAGGTTTTCTTGGCAAAGATACTGGAATAGCTTGCCATTTCCTTCTCCAAACTCATTTTATGGATGAGGAAACTGAGACAAACAGGGTTAAGTGACTTTTCCAGGGCCTTGTCTGAGGCTGGATTTGAACTCAGGTCTTCCTCACTCCAGGCCCAGCATTCTATCCATTGCACCACCTAGTTGTTGGTACCTTTGAATAATTGGTTGACCTATTGGAAAGAAATCAGCAGTGATTATCCAAACAAAGGAGTGACAAGGATTCTTTCTGGCCCCTGTGAGTAGGACAGGTCAAACTGGGACTGACTAGAACCTGGAGATAAGATAGGTCCATCAGAGAATTCTAAAGGAAAAACTGAGCAGTTTAGGTCACCCAAAAGTATAGTGGTAAGCCATAGGCAGAGATATAAGTAAGTGGTTGATGTCAGGACTCTTGATATAGCTGTGGTGTTTCCATTAAAAATTTGGGATAGGTGTGGCTACCCTGTACCAACTCTCCATTAAAGAGAGTCTGTGAAATAACACTCATCTTTGAAGGATGTCACATGTGCAACAACATATATCCATTTTCATCCACCTTCTCCATGACTGTAACATCAGACTTTCCTGTTCCAGTTTTTAAAAATTTCTATTCATCTATCTTAATGTCTTGTTGCTAAAAGGAAACCCAAGTCTGAATAACTGAAAAAATAATAACGGTCCTAAAGAATACATGATGAAATGAACCTCCTTCACCTCACCGGAAAGTGAAAGAGCGAGGCAACTAGAACATTACTTCTAGTAATATAGGCGAAGGCATCATGGTCAAAACATTAGCAGATGCTGCTAAAGTTACTGGAAGATACTGGAATAGTTTGTCATTAGGATGAAGTCCCTGTATCAGGCATTTGTTACAAGACAAGGTTTATTTCTTTTGTGTGACTATCAATGAATCCATCATTTAATATGTGTGTGTGAGTGGTGATATTTCTAAAAAAAAATAATAAAAATAAACTAAATGGCTTTTCTGAACCTAGGAAAGTTTGTCTGAATATATAGAAGTTGTGTCTCTCTCTTCTCTATTTGTCCTCTTCTATCCTTTGTTCCTAATGTAAGCTAAACTACAGAAATGATGGTCCCTTTGTAATATGTGGGACTGAATACCTTTTTTCAGATTTTCTCTTATTAGAGACCTCTGTAACTTTGTCTCTGAGTAAGGTAATTAAAAGTGTCTGCTCTTTTGGCCTCTGGCTTTATTTTTTCTTCTCGGACTTCAAATGGCAACTGGTGACACCATGTACTTCAAACTGAAGCACGGAATTGGAAGTGTTTCTGGAAGATTCCTTGTTGGGAGATTAACACAAAAAATATACACATATGCAGAAACATAAAATCTACCCTCATAACACACACACACACACACACACACACACACACACAAACAAACACACATATTAAATGGCAGAAACCTGTCAAAGCTAAGTATTTTCATCAGGTAGTAGGGTTCCTTCTAAGTCAGCCTGACAAAAGAAATTGCAACACAATCAGGTCTACACATGGCTCTATATGTTGACAGATATTTTGTGTCAAGTTTGGTTCCTTACTAGAATTTTCCTTCCTTGTGAATAGTTGAACAATGAATATTTTTAGATAAATGACACTTTGATCAGTTTGGATTTCTTTCAAGAGGTTTCAGAGTACAATACATCCAGCTTCAGAGGGAACATTTATGATTTTCTTCTCAGAAGTGAACTTCAGTTTCATGTGATGGTCTCTTCCAGCCTCATAAATACTAAACTTTAGTAGCATCTGCTAATGTTCTGACCATGATGCCTTTGCCTGTAAAAGCTGCATCTTGGATGAATCAGTCTTCTTCTTCTATTTGCTAGATATAATTTATTACACAATTTACTGTGAGTAATTGGTGAGTGGCTCACAGTAAGGATGTATGAGAAAGATTCTCTCTTCCATTGATTGTTACTTCTTTCTTGGAAAGGAAATACTGTGAAAGTCTTGGTATCTGGAATTTGAAACTAGCATGCATAATACTAATACTACTATTACTACTAATAATAACTAGTATTGATATAGGGATCTAAGATTTGCAAAGCATTTTACATATGTTATCTGACTTCATTCTTACAACAATCTTATGTATCCCCATTTTATAGATGAGAACACTGAAGTTGAGAGAAGTTGTGATTTGTCCAGGGTCACACCACTAGCAAAATTCAAGCAGGATCAAACTCAGGTCTTTCTGATTCCAAATCCAGAACTTTATTTCATATGCCACTTAGTTGACCCTCTATGAATGCTGAAGATCATTGAGGGCTAAGATAATCATCTTTTTTTTATTTCATCTTCCTCCCTATGACATTCAAAACAGTATTCTGTACAGATTGGGAACCCCATAAATGTTGACTGATGGGCAGAGTAAATAGTACCCCTGTTAGCCTTGACTCTGTCTTGTTATGAATAATCTGATAGCCAGAATTGCTCACGCAATTCACCACATTTCATTTTTTTCTTGAAAATTTTGTAAACCTGACTGATAGAAAGGCCAACACCTGAGCTTGCGAGTAAGAAGGGAGTAGTATTGGGTGGGTTTACTTTGCAGAAAGAAGGGACCAGATAAGCACTGTCATTGCTTCATATGGTTTTGGCTAAGAAGAGCATATATCGCTCCCGTGGGCAAAGCCAAAATGGCAGAGTAGAGAAAGCACTCTGATGAACATTCCCCTACAAACAAATTTAAAATAATGCCTCAAATCAAATTCTGGAGTAGCAGAACAAAAAAGAAAGATAAGAATGAGACATTTTTCTAGCTCAGGATAGCATAGGAAGTTAAAAAGAGACATGAGGGAAGAGGCTGGCTCTGAACCCAAATGGATGAAACACCAGGGGTGGGACTATGTGGTGAGCTATCAAGCCAGAAATAGTAAGGGGACCTAACAACTGGTCAGAAAGGAGTTTACAGTGAACTCCTATGGTAGCACTGGATGCAGAAACAGAGACTTTTTGGCAACTCCATTGCTTATACCCACTTCTGGGTCAAAGTTCAAGAGCAGAGAGGAGAACTTTCAGTAAAGAGGGAATGGAAGCCCTGAGGGGCAGAATCACTTCCAGGCACAAGAGATCAGGGACCCTGAGGAACAATATTATTTCTGGCCACAAGGGAGCAGGGGATCTCTAAGAAGCAGTATTAATTGCATTTCCAAAGGCCCTTCCTGGATAGGGACCAGAGTGCAGGCTAGGAGAACAGTAACCACATTTCTCTCCAGATCACAGAACCTTGGAAGCACTGAAAACTTCCAAACCTCCACAACTAGCTCTGAAAACAGCAGCACAAAAAAGCCTGAAGCTTGAGACAGCGTCCTTTCAACCCCACATTGGGAATAGAGCCCAACATTAACACAAAGTTCCAAATCAAGAAATTAGATGGAAAAATGAGCAAACAACAACAGCAACAACAACAACAACAACAAATGCTGACCACAAAAACTTACAATGATGCCAGGCAAGATCAAGACACAAATCCAAAAGAAGACAATGAGGTCAAAACAGCTACAAGCAAAGCCTCAAAGAAAATGTGAATTGGACACAAGCCCACAAGAATTACGAGAAGAGCTAAAAATGAACTTGTGTTTAACTAGGCAGTGGGGTTAAGTGACTTGCCCAGGGTCACAGCTAGTAAGTATCAAGAGTGTGAGGCCAGATTTGAATTCAGGTGCTCCTGACTCCAGGGCCGATTCTCTATCCACTGTGCCACATAGCTGCCCCCTAAAAATGATTTTCAAAATCAAATAAGAGTGGCAGAAGAAAAAAAGAAAAAAGCAAAGGAAAAAAATTATGAAAAGACAATTAGCAGTTTGGTGATGCACATAAATATACTGAAGAAAATAACACATTAAAAAAACACATGTGGCCAAATGGAAAAAGAAGTACAAAAGCTAACTGAAGAAAACAATTCCTTAAAAATTAGAACTGGGCAAGTGCAAGCTAATAACTCCATGACACATCAAGAAGCAATAAAACAAAGTCA